AGTGCACATCCATGTTTATTTTTGCTCTTTTTTAAAATTTTTTAAAAAAAAAAAAAAAAAAAAAAATAATAAAATAAAATAAAAAAAATAATAAAATAAAATTACAACAACATAGCCCACCAGACTGGCGTGCCTAGTTTTTTTCTCCTGGCAGTGTCCTTTGCAGAGTACAAAGTTTAAAGATTTAAAATATGTTTATTTTCTATGTATGAATGTATTGTCTGCATGGCATGTGTGTAAGTGCACCCATGTCATGCAGTGCTCATGGAGGCCAGGAGATGATGCCAGATGTCCTCGAACTGGAGTTATGAGTGGTGGTTAACCACCATGTGGGTGCTGGGAGCTGAGCCTGGGTCCTCTGCAAGAGCACCTGAGCTAGCTCTCCAGCCCTTACAGAGTGGAAAGTTTTCATTTTAATCAGATCTAGTTTTCTTTCATGTATTGTGTTTTTATGTCTAAAAATTCATCACCAAGCTCACAGTTTTGTGAGGTCTCCTATTTCCTGTCAGTCTCTTAGTAGGTCTTTGCTCTGTTTTGAGATGCATCTGTGGAGGTGTGATGCTTAGATTTACCTGTGTGTGAGCGCCTGTTCTTTCTACGTGGCAGAGATGAGTTGCTTGTGCATCTACTTCTGTGCCCTGTTTTGCCCTTGGACCTGCATAAGCTTTTTGCAGATACCACACTGTCTTGTTGAGTGCCTTGAAATTCAATGTGCATCCTCCAGCTTCATCCCTTTGAGACCGTTGGCTACTCTGTTCTTGTAGGTCCTCCAGAAGTTTTCTTTTGTTTGAGGCAGGGTCTTAGTGTCTAGCACTTGCTGGCCTGGAACTTGCTATGTAGAATTTACAGTGATCCTCTTGCCTCTGTCTTATTTTAATTGACGCTTAGAAGAAAACATCACAGAAATGCCTAAAACAGAGTTGAGAAACCCAGCTGAAAGCTTGATCGAGTGAGAATCTTTGCCAAATGCACAAGAACTTTATTATCCCTTATTTAAAATTCTTATGCTCTTTTATTTTTAAACAGGCTAATAGCTCGTCAGCTGGCCAAAATCCATGCTATCCACGCACACAATGGCTGGATCCCCAAGTCTAACTTATGGCTAAAGATGGGAAAATACTTCTCTCTCATTCCCACAGGATTTGCTGATGAAGCCATTAATAAAAGGTAAAATTACTTTTGTATTTGGAACTTTTTTGCATTGCTTTGCCCTATAATAAGCACTGAACGATGACAAAATTTCTGTGTATAAAAATCTGGTTTTACTCTTTGCATTGAAGAGAAAACAAACAAACATGGAATCTTTGGCTTTCAGATGGTACTGCATAAATAATAGCCTCCCCATCCTCTGCCTCGAACAAGCGCCCTTAGCAGCTAGGGGAGTGAGGGTATGAGAGACAGATGTAGAGTGTTTTTCTGGAAATAATTGTAAAGATTACTGTGAAAGGATACATTTATTAGCCATTAGGAGTTGGTGTAGAGACCCTTGAAATGTTTCATCTAGCGACGTGTATTGGGACTGTGTAATAAGAGAGCGTGTAAAAGTTTGGGTTATCTTAGTGAGTAAATGCCAAATAATGAAGTTGAAAAGTCGCTTCCTGGGATCTTCCTTAACTCCTATAAGATTGACTCCCAAGTTCAAACAATGGTATTTCATTCTCTTTTATATATGGAACTTTAGAATTTAGGATCTAAATCAAGAATATTGTGATTATTGCTACTATAAAAACTGGGCATTTTATTCTGTCTTTTATAAATAAAACGTGAAAGCTGTATCTTTTTATTTAAGAAGTCTTTGAAACCCGACAGAGGCAAGTAGGATCTGTAAACACACACAAGAATTGTGATTAAGACATTGGAAATACTCTGTTGGTTGAGAGCAGCAGCTCTGGATGCAGACTGGTCACACCCCAGTTAACATGTGCTGTGCAGCCTTGGGCAGGGCTCTTACCTCCATTTTCTCATCTGGAAAATGAAAACAGTAGCTCATTAGTGGGGCCTGGTGGTAGTCTCTCCATGGAGATAATGTATGTGGGGGCGGGCAGGGAATAACTTGGTAGATCATGAAATCTGTTAGGAAATGAGGAAAGAGCAGACCCATGGCCTGGGGAACCTGCTGGTGCTGTAGAGGAATTGCTAGTGGTGGCTCACTTTTCTCTTAACTCTGCTTCAAAAAGTAAAAGAAATACATGATGATAGTTAGAATTAGGGCGTGTAGGATGAAAAGCCATGATCTGGAGTTTATACCATCACACTGCCCCTTCCCAGCTACTTTGAGGCTGTCGAATAGTTTTGCTGTTGTCATAACTAGATAACATGAGTGTGCCTGTGTTTCCTGACTGACATACAGAGATAGTAGCCTGGGCTTTCTGCTAATTTAACTGATTTTGTTGCCTTCATCTTTCCTTGCTCGAAATAAACATTGCTAGATTTTTAATAGTCTGTAACTTTCATCTACTCAAACCTCTTATTAAAGCCAGTGTGTCTCAGTCTCCTCAGCTGTAGACTGGAGGTAAATGTAAGGCATTTAGAACAGCGCTTTGTAGGTGTGAACTGCTAAGACTGTCCCTGCCCTAGTTTTGTAGTGTAAGAATTTTTACTTTACTGCTGTACATTTTCACTGTTTTATTTATGTTTAGGTGGATTATAAACTTTTTCTTTATTTCAACTTTGGCCTATTGTTTAATTGAATGTGTGCAATTAAATGGAAATATTTTGAAGATTTTTAACTCTAAACTTGATAGAAATGTCTTTAAGATAAATAAGCTGTAATTCTTCTTTTAAAATGAAAAGGTTCCTAAGTGATATTCCAAGCTCTCAGATTCTTCAGGAAGAGATGACTTGGATGAAGGACATTCTCTCCAGTCTGGGCTCACCTGTGGTACTTTGCCATAATGACCTGTTGTGTAAGAATATAATCTACAATGAGAAACAAGGTAGGTATTTGACCTTAGCAGTGAGTAAAGTTGATTGCTCTTATGCTGTTAATGGTTTGTTTGTATCAGTACAAAGAAATTTGATCCAAATGTAAGGATTAAAAACATGCACAAAGATTTTTCTCTTTAGGTTATAAAGTAATAATTGATAATTATGAATATATTTAAATATGTGGATAAAATGTGTCTTTAAAAGGTGGTTTACTAGAAACGGTTGGTGGTTCTTGTTGGATTTTTAAGTGTAAAATGCTGAAATGATTTTGTGTACACATGTTTCTGAAAGTCACTTGGCTCTCCGTGATTGGAGAGTGCCCTGCTTTAATGGGAGTGTGGGGTCAGCAGGCTGCTCCGCACTGCTTCATTTCTGGGTGGAGCTCCACCGTGCTGTGCGAGCTCATATGCTTAGGTGTGTCCCAGGCTCTCCACGACCTGTGTATTATGCTGCAATGTTAGATAGTTTCATGTTAGGGAGAGACTCAGGTGTAGAAAATATTCTTTGTATTTGTTCATATTTGCATCAAATGAAGTAAAAATAAAAGAGCCTTGGGTAACTAGTTTTAAAATATTTTGAGGCGAAAGTTGGTACATTTTGGTGTAATATTTTTGTGTGACCATATCTTGCTGTATTCAGATTCTCTGTTTTCATATCTAAGAATCATTTGGTTGTATAGATCATTGGGCACAGTGGTTTGAGGTTTGGTTGCTAAACGATAAAAACCTTCAAATAGTAAATTGAAATTTGAAAATAAAAACTTTTGTGAAAAGAATAGTATTTGAAAAGTGTGCTGGAAGCCACAATGCTCGTGCTCTCGTGGAAACCCAGTTCTGAGACAGCCGTTACTGCCAGAGTCCGCTCTCTAGCAGCAGCGTTCCGGGCACCAGGGCCGAGGAGCTCGTTAGAGTGCGCAGGCCTGTAAGTTCACTGCTTAGCATCTAACTACTCCTAAGTTGGGGCTGTTCTAATCAAAGGGTTGTTATTATGGCTGTCTTTAACTTGAAACCCTGCTAAAGGAACACTGCTAAGAACAGCGGCCTTAAGTTGTGTTTTCAAGAACATTTGATGCTTTAATGTGGATGAGAAACTGGTTAAAAAAAAATTCTGAGTTAAAGTCTGAGTCATGTTGAAACTTTTATATGGAATTATTTTTATTTTAAACCTTAGGTTTGCCCTAAAGCATTAAGCTTTTGACAGTTTCCTTTACTGAGCTTCTGTCCATTTATCATATATAGCTGTCATAGTAAATGTGCACCCAACTGCTGGTAACCAGATCTCAATGCCATTGTGAGACAAGAGCACTAGCTATGCCTGGAGCAGTGTGCTAGCCAAGCTCAGGGAAAGACCTAGTGACACAGTCTGTGTAATGGGAGATCAAGTAAGGGACTTCATCTTACATTTGAAGTGGACACTCAGCTTTATTTTTAACTGCAAGTTAAAGGGAATCTGTTATTTCCTTTGGAATATAATTTTAACTTACCATATTTTTTATTTTTATATGTTTCTTTTACATATTCATTTCATAGAACAAACTTGTTTATAAAACTAAAAAAAGAGGGACCAAAAAAATCAGATTACTTTGTACTTTTCATTAAACAGTTGCCTCCCAACTATTGATAATTACACGAAGAGTGCTTGCATTTCACATAATCACGTAGGCTTTAATTTGGCTTCAGAGGTCAAGGCACATGCTCTGTCCCTCTCCTCATCCAGTCTGTGTTGTGTTGCCTGTTTCTGGTCCTTTTGGTCTGTTAGAGTGTCAGTAATGGAAAGGGCCTCGTGTATGCTTTAAGGCTAATTTGGACCTCATAGCATCCCCTTGTAAAATAGTAATTCCTGTGTGATTAGTTGGCATACAAACACTAAGAAAAATATGGTTAGAATTTTCAGGCAGAATCTGAAACTCAGGAAAGTCTGAGCAGAAGCATTGGCATTAAGTTTCAAATCAGGAGCTGGTAGTTTTGAGGTAACGTAGTCATGTGCCCCCTTTGCATCTTTAGTTACAATTAAAGACACCATGCCTCATCCCAAGAACTTGGTAGGCTTTAATGCACAAAACATTTTATATATGGCACATACCTTAACTGGTTGCTTACTTTGTTGTAGCATATGGAAACTAAGTTGAGTTTGTTGAAGTTAAGGTCATTGGCACCTGGAGTAACAGATCCAGTTTTGTATCATGTTCACATTTGTGCTTGGTTTCTTGTCCTTCCTTCAGTCATTTACATGGCTTGGGCTCAGGGCCTCACTGTATTTTGTATTCACCTTGAGATTCAAGTAGATAAAAACAACGAATATGAGTTCAGGGGACCGGCCTGGCGTTGTCAGACTCAGTCGTTGTCTGCAGTGTGTTTCATGGTTTTAGTTTCTCAGAAGTGTAAATTGGAGAAAAACAGTAAATTTGTGTTGGGTCATTTTGAGTGTCTGCACTAGCTTAAAATCATAACTCTTGATGAGCTGGACTTGACGTTGACATACGTACATAGTTTGCTGCCCCTGTACTATGTTTATAGCATGAATTTTACAAAATAGATCTGTTATCAAAAAATGAAAGATGGGTCCTGTTAGCTTGTGGCTTGCCTGTGTGCGATGACAGTCCAGCTAGTCTTTCAGTGTTCATACACAGTGTGCACAAACCATGAGCTCTCTCCACTTACATTTTCATGCGCAGATGTTACAGGAACTCACAGCTAGCAGAGCGGAACACGGTTTGCTCACCCTTCTTGTTGACAAGTTGACAGCATACGGGGATAGGGGACGAGACTGAGCATCTTTCTGAAGTTGATCACTGTCAAGTGCCAGAATTTAGGTGTTCTCCTAAACAGTGGCCCATGCCCTGCTTTCGCTGACATGGCGCCCCCCAGAGTGGGAAATGTGTCTCATGATGAACTGGAGTCTGAACACGATAGGGAGCAGTAGTTCTTACTCTGCTAATTCTTCAGTTGTTGACAGGTCAGGAGTAATTGCTAAATTACTTTTGAGATTGCTGTCTCATATCTTGATGCTCTTGTCAGAATGTTCAGTGATCTGATGGTGATTTGGTAGTTTTTTCTCCTTCCCCCATTTCTTCATAGAAGCCTATGAATAAGGCCAAATAGGACTTAACATTTCAGTGATGTTAATCGCTGTCCATTTTCTGTGTCCGCAGAATACAGGAAGCCAATTGGTAGGCATTTAAGGGAACACAAATGAGTGAGTGTATTTGTAGAAGGCCCTTTCTTGGGATTACAGAATGAATCAGGTTTTTCTTTAGTGGTTTAACACTGCAAATGGAAAAGGGATGAGCCACCATCTGAGTCACTTGTGGCTGTGAGCCATTCTGCCTTTACTAATGCAAAGCATTGATCTTTTAATGACATGAATTTTATTTTAAAACTTAGAATAATGATCTGCCCTGGTTGGAGTTCTGTAGAGATCTCTATTACCTCCATGCTAGGCTGAGACAGACCTCTATAGCCTCCTCAGCACAGCTGTCCTTGTGGAGTCAGGATGCAGCTTAGTTGGTGGATTGCTACCTGTTCTCAGCACTGCAGTAAGTGGGTGTGGTAGCACAGGTCTGCAGTCCCAGTAACTGGGAGGTGGAGACATACGATGATACGTTCAAGGTCATCCTTGGCTGAACATAGACATTGTTTATTGGTGAAACAACTAGAAATATGTGCATAATCCTACAAGCATGTTTACTTATAAAGCCTATATATTGGTATACATATGTGGCCTTGCCTGCCCGCTTGGAGTGCTTCACCATACTTAAAACCCATATATGCATTATTTGATACAAATATCTACAAATATAGATGTAAACATAAGTAGGTATTTCTAATAAATAAATTTATGTTTGATGTATAGTGGTCACCCATGCACCTGCCCTCCTAAATTCTAGAGTTGACAAGTTTGTGCTATCACCCCTCCTCACCTGTCCATCCATCTGTCCATCTTATTTTACATGTGTTTCACAATGAGTTGCAGATGTCAGTGTCCTTCATACCTAAGCACTTCAAAGTACCAGCGGGCGCTCAGCATTTCACAGCAGTGCACTGTACACATCTTAAGCATTTTGGGTTGGGTGTGGTGATGTGCATGCAGTTCCAGCTACATAGAGACTTAAGTAGAGGAATGCTTTGAGTTGAGGAGTTCAAGGTCAACCTAGACAACATAGGGAAACCTGTCTTTTTAAAAATAATTTTAAAATTTATTATTATTTTTGTCTTTTTTGAGACAGGGTCTCCTTGTAGCCCCAGTTGTCCTGGAACCCACTATGTAGACCAGGCTGGCCTCTAATTCACAAAGATCCACCTGCCTCTGCCTCCCAAGTGCTGGGATTAAAGGCGTGCGCCACCATGCCCAGCTAATTTATTAATATTTTTTTATGTGTGTGAATGTATTGCCTGCATTAGGTAAGTGCACCCGTGTTGTGCAATGCTCACGGAGGTCAGAAGAGACTGTCGGATCCCCTAGAACTGGAGTTATGGACAGTTGTTAGCTGCCATGTGGGTGCTGGGATTTGAACCCAGGTCTTCTGTAAGAACAACCAGTGTTCTTAACCGCTGAGCCATCTCTCCAGCCTCCAGAAATCTTGTTTTTTTAAGGAAAAAGTTTTAAATGCTGGGCATGGTAGGTAGCACACTCTTTTGATATCAGTGCTAAGGAAGCAAAGTGAGATCGAGGCCAGCCTGGCCTACATAGCAAGCTGCAGGCAGGCTGGGGCTACGGGAGATCCTCTCAAAAAAAAAAAAAAAAAAGCATATTATTACATGAATTTGAAGGCTTTTCCACCTGTAAAGATGAGAATATGTCCATTATCTCAGAGCCCCTCATGCTTTTGTGAAGGGTCATCTTAATATTCTATTGATGGGTGCTGTGTGTGTGGCAGAAAATAAAACAGCCCAAGTTAGGCAATCAGACACATAAGTGCATTTAAGAACCTGAACAACAACGGAAATTCAGCCAGTCGTGCACGTCTGTAGTCCCAGCATGGAGGCTTAGGTTGGCTTGCCATGAGATT